TCGCAATTCTGACTATATATCTCGCAATTCTGACTTTAGTATATAGAAACAATAAAGGGTTGAAAAATGTAGTTTGATATGATACTGTAGGGGTTACACTATGATATAAAGTATATGATATACAGTAAAGGTTAGACTAGTATTGAAACGGCAAAGTTTTGACTAATACATAAGAAACGAGGGCTGTCAAGTGACTCTCAAACACTGCATTTAAATGTAAGTGTAGCAAACCAGAGACATGGCGTACAGAAGCTGCTGATATTAAACTCACTCCCGCTTTAGTTTGTGTATTAATTACAAAATAACTTACCGGGCCCATATTGATCTGCGATTCGACTCAACTATCGATGACGTTTCAAATGTGTAAATCAGTTCAATCCAAAAACAAACAAACAAACAGTGTGTATCCTCTCTTCACACATGCACCACATGGGCAGGAAGCAAACGGGGGGAGATGCTACATGAGTTCCGCTGCCTTTGAGCGCCACCTGCTGAGCTGGAGGAACGAATGCACGAAGACGACGACTTGATCTTAGACTAAATGACAATTATTATGTTTAAGTTGCTCCAAGTCATTTATTAAAATTTCTAAAGCAGCTGAAAAAATTAATTCCTTAAATCTCTATGAATTACAAATTGCTATTTGATAGGGTGTAATACTTTAGATTGTTAAAAATGACAAATATTATTAATAAAAAAAAATTCTATAGGTATATATAAAATGAACAAGTTATATTTTTAAGTCACGATGAATTAAAATAAAAGAAACAACAACAACTATCATGGTAGTTTTAGATTTATTTACACATTTGAATTTTGAGGTGTCAAACATTTCACCTATTTACAATGTATCTTCACTGGAGTATGAAAACTGTACAATAAAACCAGGAATGTGTCGAAAACAAACCAAGAATTAATGACACAATTTACATTTTTCTTCAAGATGCAACATTACCAATTGGAAAAATGTTTCGAAACCCAATATTTACAGATATTAGGTTGAAATGCATGATAAACAATGCATTTGGTCAAATATTTTTTGGTCAAACTAAAATAAAACAGACAAAAATGTATTACGCCACACACTCTTTTTCTTTAACTGGCAAATGTCAGTTTGCAAAATGCAAAAATCTCTGAATGCATTCATCACTGTCTTACTAACATTAAAATGAAGCTATATATTAGTGTTTTAAAAGAACAAATTAAAGTAGCACAATAGGACCGCAAGAAATGCAATAATTCTTCGGCAAGAAGCAACAAAATGCTTTCAAACACCTCAACACACTATATGCATTATTCCTGCATTGGATTTATTTTTAAAATTTCTATTGCACTTCATTAAGGTCTTGTCCTACAAAACAAAACCACTTAAAAGAATCACATTTAAAAATCACAGAACCTGGATATTCCATTATTAAAATCTCAAGTGCATTAAACAGGCTCTGAATGGATATGCTTCCAAAATAAACTTCAGCATACAAAATGAGTGCGTATGCCGGCACCAGTCCTCTCCATAAGGAGGAAGATTAAGAGAAAGCCTGATGCTGGTATCTGGTACAGTACACGACTAAGCTGGTGGAATATTTTCTCATAAAAGGCTTATATTTTTAATTCACACATATGTGTAACTTCAGTAACACTGGCATGGTTACAAAGGTATCAAGTTGAGCTTTTTCTTTCATTCCATTTCTTTGAGCCTGTTTTATACAATCCCCTCTTCTAATCGAGAGTTGAAGTCAACTGGAAATATAAAACTGGTGAGAGTTCAAGAGGTTTTCACTGTAGGACTGATGCTTTTTTCCATTTCTTTATCCTTTATGAGGGCATTAAACACCTGATGAGGAGAAAGAGACAAAAGAAATAACTAACATATGTTAAAGGAATAATTCCTCATTGGATCCTCTGCAGTGAATGGGTGCCGTCAGAAAGAGAGTCCAAACAGATGATAAAAAACATCACGATAATCCACACCACTCCAGTACATCAATTAATGTCTTGTGAAGCAAAAAAAAGGGGATGGACTTTTTTTATGGACTCATATTTTGACCTTAAGTAACGGTTTAAAGTTAAAATGCTTTAATGATGGATTTGTTTCCTAAAAACACGCAGCTTTTCACTTCACAGGACATCAATTGATAGACTGGGGTGGATTATTTGTCAATTATCGTGATGTTTTTATCAGCTGTTTGGACTCTCATTCTGACGGCACCCATTCACTGCAGAGGATCCATTGGTGAGCAAGTGATGTGATGCTATATATCCTCAAATCTGTTCTGATGAAGAAACAAACTCATCTATATTTTGGATGGCCTGAGGGTGAATACATTTCCAGCAAATTTTCATTTTTTGGTGAACCATTCCTTTAAGGAACGCCATGCAAACCACAATGTACTGTAGAAGAATAAAGTTCCCTGTAGTAAGCTATACTCGTAATAAAGTGTTAGTTTGCCGAAAATATGAAAATGCTGCCCTTTCCACAACACAGATTAATTTTACTAGGTATCTATTAATAGAAGTTATGCAAAGGAATCTTTGAAGAGAACAAAATGTAGCAGGAAGTATATTTGCATTTAATTTCCTGCCTGCATTTCTCTCACAAACAAACTCCACAGGCTGATCACTGTAACAGCTCAGACAGGAACTGACCTGGGCCCACTTCCTGTTGCTGCTGATCATCTGAGTGTTGGCGATGCAGCTCAAGAGGCGTTCAGACGGCGTGTCCTCCGGGAGTCTGGTCAGGAACTGAGCGATGTGGATGAAGTCCATCTGCAGGAGCACGTCCTCATAGAGCCGCAGAATCCCAAGCCCCGTGCGGAACAGGAACTCCTCCCCGTCTCTGCAGAACACGTCCCACACCCGACACGCCACATCCAACGGCAGGGACTTAGTGTAGAGGGTGAAGATCCTGTTAATACAAAAAATGTACATAAGAAAGTGAAAATGACAGTAATGCATCCAAGGTGTTTTGTTTAGTCTTCAAGGTCAGAATTTGGACAACAAAACTAGTCATAAGGGTCAATTTTTTTAAATCGAGATGTATGCATCATATGAAAGCTGAATAAATAAGCTTTCCATTGACGTATGGTTTGTTAGGATTGGACATTATTTGGCTGAGATTCAACTACTTGAAAATCTGGAATCTGAGGGTGCAAAAAAAAAATCAAAATATTGAGAAAATCACCTTTAAAGTTGTCCAAATGAAGTTCTTAGCAATGCATATTACTAATCAGAAATTAAGTTTTGATATATTTACGGTAGGAAATTTACAAAATATCTTCATGGAACATGATCTTTACTTAATATCCTAATGATTTTTGACATAAAAGAAAAATCGATAATTTTGACCCATACAATGTATTTTTGGCTATTGCTACGAATATACCCCAGCGACTTAAGACTGCTTTTGTGCTGCAGGGTCACATTTAGAACGGAAAGCAGCTTCAAAATTTAGATTTACTTAAACATATGCATTTAGAAATCAAGCTTAGTTTTCTGCCTAATCTGATCAGATTTAAAATGAAAACTAAGAAATGTTTTCCTTCATCAGAAGGTTCTTCAAGGACTCACCAGTCTATCAGATACAGGTCAGGCGTGAGGTTATAACTCTTGAAGTGATTAAAAAGTCTGGGGAGGTTTTCCTCAAAAAACACCTCAAATGCCGCAAAGTACTTCAGCATCTAATAAGAAAGAGACACAACATTAAAACAGATTTCTAATTCATGGAAAAGCTCCATGTGTAACAATCCCATCAATAAATCCACAGAGAACTAAACTATAATTGAAGTGAAATTATTACAATGTCTGACATTTAAAAAGCAATTCAGCTGATTTGCAATAAAGGCCTAATATTACCTAATTTGATGATGACTTCAAAAATATCAATTTATCAATATTCAAAACATCAATAAAAATTTTCCATCATGTAGTTTTTTCACAAAATAAGAATTATATATATATTAGTACCGCCAAACGATTAATCGCGATTAATCGGATCCAAAATAAAAGTTTGTTTAAAAAAAATATGTATTATGTATATATAAATACACACACATTCATTATATATTTTGAAAATATTTACATGTATATACATTTATATATTTATATTATATAGAAATATGTTTAATATATAAACATAACATTTTTCTTAAATATATACATGCATTTGTTTGTATTTATATATAAATAATAAATATACACAGTACACACTCATATATTATGTAAACAAAAACTTTTATTTTGGATGCGATTAATCGCGATTAATCGTTTGACAACACTAATATATATATATATATATATATATATATACATATATGTATATATATATATACACACACACACATACATACACACACAGATAAATAAATGATATATATATATATATATATATATATATGAGCTTCAATGCGCTTATCAAAATAGCAAAACCAGTCAAATGTCAAAATGACATGATAAAAAAATCCAAACGGCATTTTAATGACAAAAAGAAGTATTCAAATTTTGTAAATTAACTTACAATATGCAAAGCAGTGAAAAGAATGGAAAATTAGGCATAAAATAATGCCTTCAGAATCATTCATGCATGTGAAAATCATCTAACCCGGCTCAGAGGACGACAGGAATCATGTCTTTGTGGCAGTTTTCTATGAAATGCATCATATTTTGTGAAAAAGTTTGACATCACTGAATCATCAGTGAACTGACCTTAGCTGAAAAATGACTCTTTGTTATTGTCCTCTTGCATTATAGACAAACTATTTTCCTGTTTGACACTGTAAAGCTGCTTTGACACAATCAGTATTGTATAAAGCGCTATATAATTAAAAGGTGGCGTGCTGGAAAAAACAGGCACTTTTTTTGCAATCAGAAAAAAAAAGGTTCTAAAAGCAGTAAGTATCATATTAGTACGAAACAAGCACTGGGTTTCATTCAGCAAATATGATGCAGGGCAGAGTTATGTCTTGTCCCTCAGTTTAAAGTCTGTAAAGCAAAAGAAGACACTGTCGACAGAGTTTGACACTGAATCACTCCTTTAAAATGATGTAAATAATCGGAGCATCTATAAAATGTTGCGTGTACCAGCTCGTGGTCCACTCTGAAGAAAGCCATCTGACAGGGTTTGTTGAGGAGATTGGCGAAGGCGATGAAAGCGTCGGCCTCCTCCAGGTTGAGAATCAACACAGCAGCTATGAAGGACATTCCCTGAACCTGCAGCCACATTTCAGAGCCGCTCTTATCATTGTCTAACGGCTGTCATGCTGGATCATACTAGAAGAACTTCCTTCATATACAATAATTGTATTTATTGTATAATATATATTGTTAAAAACATCTGCTTTATTTAACTCACATTTACAGTTTTGCTTTTTTACACTACCGATCAAAAGTTTGGGGTCAGTAAGAATTTAATAATTTTATTTAGCAAGGATGCATTAAATTGATCAAAAGTGACAGTAAAGACAATTATAATGCTACAAATGATTTCTGTTTCAAATAAATGCTGTTCTTCTGAACTGTCTATTAAATCAAAGAATTCTGAAAAAAAACATGGTTTTCACTAAAATATGATGCAGCACAACCGTTTTCAACATTGATAGCGATAAAAATGTTAAGCAGCAAATCAGCATATTAGAATGAGTTCTGAAGGATCATGTGACTGGCGTAATGATCCTGAAAATTCAGCTTTGCATCACAGGAATAAATTACATTTTAAAATATATTACAATAGAAAACAGTTATTTTGGGGTGTAATAATATTTCACTTTTTTTATCAAATAAATGCAGCCTTGATGAGCATAAGTGACTTCTTTAAAAAAATAAAAATAAATAAATAAAATATCTTACCAACCCCAAATGTTTGTAAGATAATGACGGAACACATGATTAAATACTAGGGGTGCTCCGATTAGGATTTTTTGAGGCCGATCACAGAAAGCAGTATCTGCCGATACCGATCTTTTTAAAGCCTTCTTTTTTATCATTTATAACTATTTATAGTGATACTCCAATCAGGATTTTTAGACATTTATTCATTTTTGAAAATGGGGGGAATTCCCCTCTGGGTGACTCTTGTGAGGGGAAGCAGCTTTCACAGAAGGGTCTGCTACTGATCCGTGGCTGTTTACCACAAACACAACATTTATCCATTAATTTGATTTCAAATCCAAACATTGTCACTGAAAATGCTTTTTCACCATTGCAATTCTTTTTTTACACAGTACGGTAATACAATCTTTCACAGACATATTTAAGCACAATAAATATAAGCAACACATTATTCAATGCTTTTTACTTTTGCATTTACTTCTAGATTTATATATTAAGTTGCTCAAGCAATTGGCAAAACATTTAAACTGCTTTTCTTACGTTATCATAAACTTACCATTGACAGAAATAGTCAGCTCTACTGTCTTTTCTTTTGCATTGAAATCTTTATTACAAGCAATCCTGTTTTCCTACCTCCACGAGTGCCATCTATTATTGCCTTCTTTTTCTAAAAGTGCTCCTTCCCTTTAAACCTAACCAAAAAGCCATATGTGTTGACTGTGAAACACAGTAGACTTTAATAATATGCATTTATGGTGTAATTACTACATTTTCGTGTCAATCCATGTTCATATTTACTGCAAACAATGCGCTGTTACTTTAATTCATCGCTTGCAGCGCAGCAAACATAGACTCGGTGCGGAAACGATCTCTACACTGCTACAGACGCACCGCTCCTGAACGCACTGCCAGCGCTGTTACTTTAATTCATCGCTTGCAGCGCAGCAAACATAGACTCGGTGCGGAAACGATCTCTACACTGATGCAGATGCACCGCTCCTGAACGCACTGCCAGACCGCAACCATGTGCAGTGAGCACGCTTTATTAATCCGTTAACATGAGCGCGGAAAAAATACGCACCACGTAAACCTGGCGTTATGTGTGCGCGCTGCAACTGTGCATGAGCGTACGGTCTCCAGGAGAGCGTGCGAGCACTGAATGGTTAAACACGGGCAAGAATTAAAAAGAAATGCAATTTATAAACTTTAGTGACGACGTGACACTGCCTCGATTGTGCAAGTGACAATTCCTGTGTCAACTGTGCAGCGTGCAGCTCGTTTATAGACAGACGCGATGTGTGATGATTTGAAGCCATTTGCGTATTTTGAGCGAGAGAGCGCCCGCGCGGTGATTCATTCACGCTGTTTGTGAAATTTATGAGTACCTCACCTTCAGAATTATAATTATTTCACCTGTGCTGGACAGAGAATGAGACGGTGCCGCTGCATGTCAAGCCAAACCTCTCACGGCAGCGTCATCAGCTTGAGATCGTTTTTTTTTAGATCGGCCTTTTAGAGACCGCCAATCAATCATCCCAATGTGATTATCGGCCGATAAGTAGAGCACGGGCAAGAATTAAAAAGAAATGCAATTTATAAACTTTAGTGACGACGTGACACTGCCTCGATTGTGCAAGTGACAATTCCTGTGTCAACTGTGCAGCGTGCAGCTCGTTTATAGACAGACGCGATGTGTGATGATTTGAAGCCATTTGCGTATTTTGAGCGAGAGAGCGCCCGCGCGGTGATTCATTCACGCTGTTTGTGAAATTTATGAGTACCTCACCTTCAGAATTATAATTATTTCACCTGCGCCGGACAGAGAATGAGACGGTGCCGCTGCATGTCATGCCAAACCTCTCACGGCAGCGTCATCAGCTTGAGATCGTTTTTTTTTTTTAGATCAGACTTTTAGAGACCACCGATCAATCATCCCAACGTGATTATCGGCCGATAGTGATCGGTAGCCGATCAATCGGAACACCCCTATTAAATACAGCTATCCTGTCCATTTTATGGTAGTTTGAATATTTTTGACATTGCTAACACATACAATTGAGCTAAAGAGATGATTTTATATGCAGATGAGAAATAATAATATTCATCTGGTGATCACTCACATATCCCACGTCAGGTCTGTAGCAGGTGTATGCGCCCAGAAGGCTATGCAGGAGATCATGGTATGGCCCACCCTAACACAAGAGAGACCAGCATTAATAATATATACAGTTATAATGATACCATAACAGTGAGAGGAAGAGTGTGAACAGTACCTTCTGGAAGATGAAGAGCGGAGGAAATGTGCGCGAGATGTCCAGTTTGATCAGATCCAGACTGGACTCACGGTCGGCACTGTCCGCTATAACACAATACCACAATTTAGACATGAGGATCTACTCCAATACATGCCTAATAAACTGTAACTTTACATTTCTCTGATTTCAACATTATTTGAAAATACTGTGTGTTTGCAGATTTCTCTCCATATCTATTGCTCCTATATCTACATCTCTATGGTCCTGTGATACTCTACAGTATATTTGTGGCAGTGGATAAACAGCCGCGTCTGGTGTTTGTTAGTCTCAGAGGATCTGCTCCAGTGTACTGCTGGAGGCCAAAACAGTCTGAGTGTTGTGATGAAGGCCAGAAGTGAAAGGGAGGATGTGTTTGCATTCAAACTCTATGAAAAACCAACTTTATTAACAGATTCATTGAGACACATCAAAGAAAAAAGCGCTAAAGCTAATAAAACAGCGTTTTATACAGTACACAGGCTGGAAGGCGTAGTGGAAAACAAACAACAAGAATTAACGTGATTAGCGAGACTGGGCTTGCAGCACAGGAAGGAAATAACCACCATTTCAATAAAATGAAGAGGACGGTGACTGTGGAGAACTGAAATTCAGACACTCACACACACAAACACACACCAGCGTTGCACTTCCTAACCAACTAACTTCCATGAGAGCGAGTGTGAGAACTGGTTCAACTGATTCACTGAATCAAATTATGTCAGTTTGCAATTACTGGCATAGTGGATTATTAAAAACATTCAATTTCAGACTGATTCGCTAAGGAATCATTCAAATCAAATTGTGAATTAGATCAACTGATCCATTGAACCAATTCACATTTTGCACTTCCTGACCAGTGAACTTCAATGAGACTGAGTGTTAAAACGAATTCAGAATTCAGACTAATTTGGTAATAAATCATTTTGACCGAATAGTGAATCAGCTCTACTGATTCATTGAACCAGTTGAGATTTTGTTAGTTTACAATTACTGAATAAATATAGTGGGCTGTAAAAACCCATCTGAACCAAATCACATTTTGTCAGTTTACAATTACTAGAATGGCTAATTCAGACTGATTCATTAAACCAATTTTCTGACAGTTTACAATTACTAGCATATAAACAGTGGATTTAAAAAAAAACATTCAAATTCAGACTGATTCGCTAGCGAATCATTCAGACCGAATTGTGAATCGGCTGAACTGCTTAACTGAACCAATTAAGATTTTGTCAAGATATGATTACTGGATAAGCATGGTACATTGTTAAAACACATTTGAATTCAGACTGATTCACTAATGAATCATTCAGACTGAATTGCGAATCGGCTCAACTGATTAAAATGCCCCTATTGTGCCATTTGGAATAAGAAAGAATCGATTCTGAACAGCCTAAACGAGTCATTAGTAATTTGTATCCCACTTCTGTGACATCTACACGTAACACATTTGCATAAAGCCCGCCTATGCTGTTCGGCCGCGAACAACTTGACCCGCCCTTAAACACTGTAGCCTGTTCATGTCGAGAAGATGCTGTGAAAGTAAATTTGTTTTATTTTCACTCCCGAAAGATGAGGCTGCAAAGAATCAGAATTTTCTTTTTCTACTGTACCACAGCAGTACAACTCCAATCTTTTTTTGTGTTCCCGTCATTTTACTGACGGCTGCTTCTCTAATCTCAGGGAGTTCAACGAGGGATTCACAAAACACTTGCTCTTGAAAGATGGCTCAGTACCCACTTTATTTGGATCAGCTGCTTCCACTGAATCACAACCTGTAAGGCAGGTTTCACACCGCAAGCGTGAGCGGCACATATTGTTTTCGGCGTGCATGTTAATAAATGAGTGCATTCACACTGGGAGCAGAAGTGTCGCGTGAACAGCACTGAAGCGATGGTTTTGGCTGCTGTGACGCTGTACAAACGCTTCCAGTGTGAATACAGTGACGATGTAGTTACACTGACGTGAAGCTCAAGCTTGCGGAGTGAAACAGGCGTAAGTATGATAGATAAAAAAAAAAGATATTTTCTATCGAGCGTTCAAAATACAGAACTATGGCAATGGGTGTATCACAGTAGACCAATCACAACAGACTGGGCCATCTGACCAATCAGAGCAGAGTAGGGTCACAGAAAGGAGGGGTTTAGAGAGACCTGAATCTTAGAACTGCTTCGAACGAATCGTTGGAAAATGAGGTGATATTAAATGCAAATTTTGAGAAAACGAAAGCATATTTTGACCATGCATGCTTGTAAACCTATTGTAGGAGATTCATAAAACAATATTAGGAACCTTAAAAATGACATAATAGGGGCACTTTTGAAGTGAGAAGTGGGTATAGTCTTATTTTTTGCCCCAATTTTTTTTAAGTGGCCCAGAAAAGGATGAACGCCCTGTGTTATAAACAGTGACATGTAAAACTAATCTTGCATATTTAGTTCACCCCAAAATGGGCCAGTAGTATTTGCACACGGTCACTTAACATCTGCTGCTTGACTTCATGGAGTAAGGATTATTATGAAATTAATATAAGCAACAGAAGAGGTGCAGATTTTGCAATAAATAATTCAAATAAAATAAATAAATAGACTGCAGCAATTAACATTTTGTCAGAACCTCTAGTAAATGACATGCTATACAGCATACTAAATAGTGTAGAAACGTAATTTGATGTAAAGTTTGCAACGATTTGTATCGTGAAAAGCGCTATACAAATAAACTTGAATTGAATTGAATTTTGTTTAGTTGTCTGTTCAGAATCATGGGAGAATCATGATCTCTATTTGAAACAAAAAAAGTATGATTCTCAATTTATCCAGAATTGTACAGCTCTACTCTTACGTGTGACTGACTGTTTCTCCCATGACATTCAGTGACTGACACAGGGGCGGAGCCATCATTTCAGAAGCGAGGGGTACAGAAATGTCAAATATAAAAATACTTTTTATTTTTTTTTGGTCTAATTTTGTCAGGTTTTATTATTATTATTATTAATAATAATATTATTATTATTATTTGGGATGCACCGATACCACTTTTTCCAGTACTCGCCCGATACCGATACTTTTATTTTTGGTACTTGCCGATACCGATATTTTTATTGCATTTATACATTTTTTAAATATTGGGTACAGAAACCAAAAGGGTATGTATAATGTTAGTTGGTTAACTTCATTTATCAAATACAGTCAAACCAAAATTTATTCAGACACCTTCAACATTTCTCACATTATCACAGTTTATTTGCTATAGTTTAGAAAATGGTAATAAAATATGACAAGAACTCAGAGTTACACTGTGTCAGAACAAATTCATCTTGATAATGTTAGATAACTTTGATAGAAAGGTATGTAATGGATTACAATAAACCAAAAATGATTCAGACAGCTGTTAGTATGACAGTATTTACACAACTATCAGTACTTAGTCGGGCAGCCCTTAGCCTCAATGACAGCCTGTAGTCTCCTGGGCATGCTGTCATTCAGCTTCATGCCCGGTCTGAATAATTTTTGGACTCAAATTTGTATCAGTTTTACTGGTAGTCCACTGTATGTATGTATAATATGTCACAGTTTACTTTATTTTGCTATCCTCACTTACATAAATTAACTATAGTGTCCTGCACCCACTAGTAAAAAAATATAAAAAAATATATCTGGTCTCTGAATCATTTTTGGTTTCACTGTATATCCTTCGGTTATTTTCACACTTAATTATGCTCATTAAAATGTATTTGACAAGTTTGTTACTTTCACTGTTCATTGTTTTGCTCTATGGTACATCATCTTTAATTTAATAGCATGAGAGCTGCTCCATTGCAGCGGCTTAGTACTGTAATCACGCGCTTTGCTGTAATAATGCAGGGAACCACTCGTTATAAATCTCCTAACTGTGATATTTTCAGAAATAGAAG